GTTGTGCTGGACTCCCATGTAGACGACTGCAGTTCAAGTCCTGGACCCGGTGGCTTAAACTCACGCTGCGTGTGTGTGCGCCCAAGATCCTGGGAGGAGAATGGAGGAGAAGGGATTGCGGCGTGGTCGTCTCCCCTGGGGGGTGATTTCTCGCTTTCTGTCTCTCTCTGTCTTTCTGGCAAGTGCATGTGCCCTACTGCAAAAACTTCTCAAAAACAAAAAAGATTTTACAAATTTAAAACCAGGAAAAATCTAGAGGCAGCACATTAGCCTCCATCCTCCCACCCGCAGTCACTCTCTCTCCCTCCTCCTCGACCGCGGGCTCCGTTCCTCTCTCTGGCTATTGAGCTGCCTGCGTGTTTGAGCAGCTCCACGTCTGACGATCCAGTACGCGACCCTTCTTGCACACGCCTTAATAGCCGTAGGAGGGACTCTGCCACCCTTTGGAAACACAAGAAGACCCTTTCTCTAACTGGAAATAAACTTTACCCACGTATTGCCATTAACTTCGCAACATGTCTTCTACAGTTTCCCTTATTCACAAGAGCATACACACACGTGTGAGACAGAGACAGAGAGCACCCCACCCCACCCCACCAAGTCTGGTCATGCTGTCATCCCCTTCCTTCCGTCCTGCACCCCCTCCTACTGGCTGAGATGTTTCAGGCTGCCTGGACCCGGGTAGGCCTCTCGTTGCCAGGGGTGGGGGTGGGGGGATACCGCTCTGCCATGGACCCAGCCCCAGGGAGTACACTTTAAGACAAGGTGCGGGACGAATGCACGGTCACTAAAGGAAACACATACGAGGACAGTGGCTCCCTTCACGCTGCGCTAGGGTGCTAGGCTAAAATGAAGGGTGGGATGCAAAGGAAGGCCTAAGTCCCGGCCACGTCTGCTCTGGGCTGGAATACGACGTCCCCGCCGGGCATCCCAGGCCCTCTGCAGCACAGACTGCGCGGCCGCGCCCCGAGCTCCTCTGTAGTTGGCTTTTATTGCTTTCATTGGCCAGGGCCGGGGGACAGACTGACCCCATCTCTGTACAGCTGCTTGCAAGCTGCAGCTCCAAGGCTGGCCTGCAAGTTCGGCACCTGGCTGCAGGTCGGCCTCTCTTCTAGGCACCATTCGTTCCAACTGAGCACTTCCTTTTACTGTCTTGTCTATTGGTGGCGTTCAGGGGCCTGGAATCCCCAACAATAACAAATCCTAGAGTCTTTTCCAGGCAAGCGCTGTGTTGAGGGCTTCTTACCTTTAGGCCTGCGAGGACATGGAGGGCTTACAGGTGTGCAAACACTTGCTGTGAAGCTGGCAGGTGGGGCGGAGGTTAAGCGTGCTGGACTCCCACATGGCTGACTGCAGTTCAAGTCCCAGGCCTGGTGGATTGCTTTCATTGGCCAGGGCCGGGGGACAGACTGACCCCATCTCTGTACAGCTGCTTGCAAGCTGCAGCTCCAAGGCTGGCCTGCAAGTTCGGCACCTGGCTGCAG